GCATTTAAAATATTTAACTACTGATATAAAGAAACATCTAAAAGAAATTTGCTGGCTCATACAAGGTTCAAGGAAACCATGTCCATCAAAATTTGAATTTATACTGACTTAAGTCAACATGAAACTGATCCTCTTTTCTTAGTTTAAATAAACTTTCCCTGTCTTTTTTCCATAGATAGATAGATAGATAGATAGATAGAGTCACACGATCCATCAAAAATCATTCTAATATGCTGATTTAGTGCTTAATAAACATTATTTGTACCATTATTTTTACTTATTATTACCAATGTTAAACAGTTATGCTGTTTAATATTTTTGAAACTGTGACATTTCTTCCAGGATTCTTTGATGAATAGAAAGTTAAAAAACAGTATTTACTTTTATATTTTTTGCAACATAATGTGTGTCTTTACTGTCACTTTTGATCAGTTTTGTTTCTTTTCAGTTTTCTTAAAAAAAAAAAAAACTTTGCTTGGTAGTGTGTGTAACAGTATAATTGTACATATATTTATTTAATCAAATATAATTTAGGAGTACACTAGCACACACAGTCACAAAAAGTTTAAAGGGGTCATATGATGCAATTTTAATTTTTCCTTTCTCTTTGGAGTGTTACAAGCTCTTGGTGCATAAAGAAGATCTGTAAAGTTGCAAAGACTAAAGTCTCAAATCCAAAGAGATATTCTTTATCAAAGTTAAGAGTCAGTCACACCTACCTAAAAATGGCTCATTCTAACACACCCCCACATGTCTACGTCACGATGTGGGAAGATTTGCATAACGCCGCCCAAATGTTCACGCAAAGAAAGAAGGCGTAACTTTTATTCTCGCTGTAGTATTGTTGTTGCCGCCATGTCGTGAAGGCACTGTGTGTTTCATTGTGAAAGCGAAACTACTTTGTTTGGTCTTCCAAAAGAGGATGATATCTGCTTCGTCATGCTTAGAGCTGATCCGTGCTGGTCGCTGAGGAAATACATCAACTTCGCGCTGTGGATCGCCGGATCAGCTTTCACCGTGGACGAAGCAGAGTCCAGCCCAGGGTCGTCACATGTGGTTGCCGCAAGCCCTCCGGACGCTCCTTCGTCAAATCCGCCGGCCGCACCGTTCTCAAGCCCACCCGCCTCCGCTCACTCAAGCCGGCCTCCGCATACTCTAAGACGCGGCTCACTCTAGGCCGGGGCATCACAGTATGGTAAGGGGCGTAACATTTCCGTCAAACGCTTGAGGTATTCGGCCAATCACAACGCACTGGATAGCTGGCCAATCAGAGCACACCCTGCTTTTCAGACCGATGAGCTTTGTAAAAATCGACGCGTTTCAGAAAGGCGGGGCATAGAGGAGAAACAGTATGTACAGTATGTGGAAAATGTGTTTTTTGAACCTTAAACTGCATAAACACATTTCATTACACCAAATACACAAAATAGTGTTCTTTTTTGCAGCATCATATGACCCCTTTAAAATCATGGGGTCTTTAAATTGAGCTGACCAAGGGTTCCGTTCAGCACAATAACTTCAGCACTCACTCTGAAAACAGGGATGTCAACCAGGCCAAGGTTTTCCGTAATGGCAGGATCATCTCCTTCCTGAGTCTGAAAATGAAACATCAGCCAGGCCACTGCATACACGGTGATGTTGGCTATCACAGTAAAGGCATACCTAAAGGATACAACCAATATAAAACAATAAGCTAAGACATCATCCCGGTCACTACAGACAAAGTCCTCCAAACAAGCATCACGAGAATAGTTGATCATTACATGCGCAGATCTGCACGAGTTTACCTGTACGCAGTGAGCTCCACTTTTTCATGCTCGCAAGTCACCAGCTCGGGAATGAGGGAGAGATGGGAAATCTGGGTGGCCGCCCATCCAAACTGGAAGATGACGATGAAGGGGGTGAAGTAAGTGAGACTGACCCACTGTGGAGTGTCCAGATCACAGCCCAGGCACTGGTTAAATATAAAGGGGAACGACAGGAGGACGCTAATAGTTCCTAAATAAAGTAAATGAGAATTATATATCATACATCAATATGCAAGAGATAAACCTTAAAGAGACAAATTTACCCAAAAACAAAATGTGTCACAATTTACTAAGGACATAATATGAAAATTAAAGTGAATTCATGCCTGAAATCTTATTTTGAAAGTCATACAGGTCTAGAACAACATGGTGATGACAAGACTCATTTTTGGCTGAACTGTCCCTTTAAGTTCCTCGTCACTCACCGACTAAATGCCATGTTTTTCTCTTCCCATATGATCCACATCCGGGTGTCTTATCAGACTCATAACCGATGAGCGGTGTACACACTCCATCCGCTATTTGTCCCACTAGCAGCAACACACCAGCATATGTGTTCTGAAAGCCCAGCACAGAATGATAAAACACCAGCAGGTATGTGAACCACATAGAGGCGCACAGGTCGTTGAGAAAATGCCCCACTGAGTAACTCAAGCGTCTGAACGCGGGTAAAGAGACTTCTGAAGAGTCCGGCATGATTAACGCGATACAGTCAACCCTCAGTCGGCTAAAAATGCGTATTCCCTTTTATCAAGCACAGCATATTGCCTGCTCCCGCGCCGGCTTCCACACTGCAGGGAGAATGAGTCTGGTGTGAAGTTGAAGGCTCTCAGTCCATCACTGCAGAAAGAGTCAGTTCCTATTAAGGATTTGGTCAGCTGACTTCGTAAATGAGTCACGATGGATTAGGCGCGAATTTAAATGCTAACATTCTCTTTCATGGATCGAGGCTTACAGTTTTAAATGTCATGTTGGTAAATATTAATGCAGCATGGTTAATGTTGAATTTGTCTAGTGCGCATAACGTAGTATAGCGTAGCGCCTTGTTATTTTCGATTCGTGTTGTCATGATGTATTTTTTAGGCCACACCCTCTCATCCGGCGTGTTGCCATATCCTCTTTAATACGAGCGACTGTGGGGGTGAGTGGTCGCAAAATATGAGCAGTCGTGGTTTTTAAGGTCATTTCCACCACACGCGGTTTTTAAGCTTATTTCCACAGTACAGTCGCGCATTTTTTTGTTTGCTAGTGTATGAGCCACATAACACAATAATGTAGCAGCTGTCAAAAAACATTATCCCCACCTGCTGTTCAATCAGCACACTACAAAAACTACAGTCGTGCTCAAAATTATTCATACCCTTGGTAAATATGATCAAAGGCGGCTGTGAAAATAAATCCGCATTGTTTATCCATTTGATCTTTTATTCAAAAATTACAAAAAAAATTTGAAAGTGGGGGAAAATCACATTATGAAGTATATTTCTCTACTACAGTAAGAGGACGTGTGTCTATATCGTCCTAATGCACGGTGAGGAGGAGAGATTGATTTGGCCTAAGACTCCAAGGATCACAGCTGGAGATAGTTGAGTCTTGGGGTCAGAAAGCCTAAAAAAACAACAACAACAAACAATGTTGTTTGGGAGAGTAAAAAAAAAACTAGAAAAGAAAACCCTCATCCAAAAACAAACTCCAGCATATTTATTTACTAGCCATGACTGGCACTATAAACGGGACTGGGTTCAATGTTCAGATTAAAATAAAAATAGTTTTTTAGTAGCAAACACTCAAGATGGGTTTGGTGCACACAGGGATAAAAAAGTACCCCATGTGTACAATGAAATATACTGCTGGATCTTTAATGTTGTGGGCCTATTTTTCTGCCGGAGGTCCTGGATATCTTATTCTGATAGATGGCATCATAATGGATTTTATAAAATACCAATGGATACATTTTTTAAAAACTGACTGTCCATGCTAGAAATCTTATAATGGGCCATGGTTGGATCTTCCAACAGGACAATGATCCACAAACAAACATCAAAATCAAAATGGGTCACTGAGCACAAAACCAAGCTTCTGCCCTAGCCAACCCAGTTCCCTGAGCTGAACCCTATAGAAAGTGATCATATTTACCAAGGGTATGAATAATTGAGCACAACTGTATATTCCAATATTGGGATTGTGTGCCCGAGAGATTTATTTTAGATGATTTAGATTTTTTTCTTGCCACTAAGCAACACTAAATTCAATGCGTATTTAGTTAATTGAAATTAACTCGGTCACAACTAAGTTTAACCCAAAAATAAAAATTGTCATCATTTACTCACCCTTTTACTCATGTTATTGCAAACCTGTACGACTTTTGGTTCCTGTTGACTTCCATTATGCTTTTTTTCAAATAATGGAAGGCAGTGGGAACCAAAACTGTTTGGTTACCAACATTCTTCAAAATATCTTTTGTGTTCCTCAGAAGTCATACATGTTTGGAACATGAGAGTGAGCAAATGATGACAGAATTACATTTTTGGGTGAACCATCCCTTTAATTCACCCCCTCAACAACAGTTTTATTTTGTTAAAAAATAAATAAAAATTAAGTTTTGAAAAACCTGGATTTATGAGGTAGCCTGATTTTAAAAGCATGATTTCTAAACCCCTTCTAGTCATGTAAATTAATACAATCATATAACGTCATGGACATTTTTATAAAGAATACATTTTTCTAGCTATTTCAAGCTCTAAAATATTTTATCAGGTAGAAACTGAGCAAAAAAATAAATAAATAAAAACCCTTATTCTTAATCTTCATCCAGAAACCACTGCTCTACACTATATCAAGAACAGCCCATTCATGTTTCTTGACATTCTGTTATAAAAAGGTTAATGATTGAATAAACACAGGATGTCTGCTTTTCACAGGCTTTTCTGCATCTAAGAAATGAATGGGGGAAAAGGTCATTTGGAAGTGTAAAAATGTCCTGCTCTAGCACTGTACAATAAACTACAAGGGCATGACACCTACTTTCATGTGCTTTCAAAAGTTAAGGCACTTGCCCTGCAGCTCCAGATGTGTTCTATGGCACCACATCCTGGTGATTCCCTGCAACTGCCTCTGTATGTCACATGATGTTGACTCTACTGAAATCACTGTTGCAGAAATAACTGCAATAATTAACCACAACCGAAGAGAAAATAAAGAAACACTAAAAGCGGTTAAAAAATGTTCACACATTCTACAACATGAGTAAAACTGGGAGAGCAGATCTTCAAAACAACTTTTTAAATTACAAAAGCAAAAAGGAAAGACAGAATTTACATTGGTTGTCTGAATCGGTGTACTTTTCTCCATACGTCAGTCAGCGGTCTTTCCCCACTTATTTTGATCCCATAAAAAACAAAAACACCATGGAGCACATCACTCACTCATCCAGCCAGTGTCAAAGTGAACGGATGTCTGTGTGTAAGTCTGAGTCTGGTTGCCTTTTAGTTCTCAAATAATGGTTTTGCATGTCATCTAAAATACAAGTTTAAACAGTCCATCTGGGTTTAAGTCACATATCATATATCATCTTATTTCTGACCACTGAGGTCTTTTCTGGTGTCCCGCATTGTACAAATATATTTATTTGTTCCACTGAATTGTTTCCTTACAAAGAGTGTCAGAGCGCAGAGTACTGAGGTGTCCTCGCTGAGCAGATGCCAAAAGTGAGGCAGTGAGTTTCTGTTCTGAGGTTGAGCAGAGACAGAAAGGGAGAGAAGAACTCCACGTTTTCAGCTCAAGTCCTTTGCTTTTGTTTTTTTACTTTAAACGCACCAGTGACTCTTAACGTTTCAAAGATGTTCCTCCTCACTTGTGCCGCTGGAGCGTTTTCCTCTTCCTCCTCTTGAAAAAACAACAGCACCTGAAAAGAGCGAATGAGTTGAAGACGGTTTTGCAATCTCCTCCCTTCATTCGCAAACTTGTCAAACGTCGTCTTAGTTAGGCAGTTGAAAGCTAATTTTAAAAACCCACTAGGACAAAAACAGGCCCAAATGTCTCCTAATGTTAGCATGGATCAGACTGCACAATTGTGTAAAACTGTATGTAACTGGTGGGTTTTTCATTTTTTGTCATTTTACTACTTGAGCTTATTGTAGTTCAGTTAGTTGCCAAGGAATCATTTAAAATTATATATATATATATATATATATATATATATATATATATATAATTTTAAATGATTCCTTGGCAACTAACTGAACTACAATAAGCTCAAGTAGTAAAATGACAAAAAATGAAAAACCCACCAGTTACATACAGTTTTACACAATTGTGCAGTCTGATCCATGCTAACATTAGGAGACATTTGGGCCTGTTTTTGTCCTAGTGGGTTTTTAAAATTAGCTTTCAACTGCCTAACTAAGACGACGTTTGACAAGTTTGAGAATGAAGGGAGGAGATTGCAAAACCGTCTTCAACTCATTCGCTCTTTTCAGGTGCTGTTGTTTTTTCAAGAGGAGGAAGAGGAAAACGCTCCAGCGGCACAAGTGAGGAGGAACATCTTTGAAACGTTAAGAGTCACTGGTGCGTTTAAAGTAAAAAAACAAAAGCAAAGGACTTGAGCTGAAAACGTGGAGTTCTTCTCTCCCTTTCTGTCTCTGCTCAACCTCAGAACAGAAACTCACTGCCTCACTTTTGGCATCTGCTCAGCGAGGACACCTCAGTACTCTGCGCTCTGACACTCTTTGTAAGGAAACAATTCAGTGGAACAAATAAATATATTTGTACAATGCGGGACACCAGAAAAGACCTCAGTGGTCAGAAATAAGATGATATATGATATGTGACTTAAACCCAGATGGACTGTTTAAACTTGTATTTTAGATGACATGCAAAACCATTATTTGAGAACTAAAAGGCAACCAGACTCAGACTTACACACAGACATCCGTTCACTTTGACACTGGCTGGATGAGTGAGTGATGTGCTCCATGGTGTTTTTGTTTTTTATGGGATCAAAATAAGTGGGGAAAGACCGCTGACTGACGTATGGAGAAAAGTACACCGATTCAGACAACCAATGTAAATTCTGTCTTTCCTTTTTGCTTTTGTAATTTAAAAAGTTGTTTTGAAGATCTGCTCTCCCAGTTTTACTCATGTTG